CATGCAGGGGTGCTGTATTGGTAATGTCACTGGGTTAATAACACCATGCTCACACTCTGGGGGTATGTCTTCAGATCCCACCATTGCAAAGGGTGAAATTTGAATTAAAGACAGGAGGTTTAGAGAGAATTTGAGAAAAAAACGTCTTTGTCAGGAGGTTGGTGATGATCTGGAATACACTACCTGGGAGGGTAGTTGACAAAGGTAACCTCACAACCTTTAACAAGTGCTTGGTTGAACAATTTAAGTCTCATAACATTCAAGGCTGTGGGCTCAGTGTAGGAGTAGCATAGGTAGTAGTGTAATTTTTGGCAGTACAGACTCAATTGGCCAATTGGTCTCTTCTGTACTGTATGATTCTATGATCCTTTCATCTTCTCACTGCATCTTCTCATGCAACGGCAGGACATACGACACCCATTATTTTGTCTCCTTCCTTTCTCAATGGCCAAAGCCCTAAATAGTCCTTTCAGGTAAAACACCCACTTACGTCTTTTAAAGTAGTAGTCTATACTGTATTTAGTGCTCATGACACAATCTCCAATACATCGGCGAAACCAAAAACATTACCTTATGAACAGCTCTATTCGTCCACAAGTGTGACGCTGAGGTGCCAGTCACTTGTCACCCCACTGCAACCTCTCTGTCCTGAGCATTCAACATTGTTCCAATGAAGTTTAATTTTCATTTGAGAAATAAGAACTCTTTCTTTGACAGGATTTTTATGGATTCCTGGATTTATTTTAGCACCAAACTCACAGATTTCAGATTATAATCGCTGCATAATTTTTTCCTTTCCTTTTTGAATAATGTCGGCTGGTGATGGTTGGATTTCTCATTTAAACCTCGTCTAGATGTATCTTTTCTTCCCTGACTTGTGACATTAGTATTTCCTTTTGCTTGCACCATCATCCCTTTTGTTGTTTACTCTCCCCTGCCCTCAGCCCTATCAGATGTGTCATGATAGTAGTAAAATTTAGACTATCAATTTTCAACTCCATCATCTGATTTGGGACTGTTGTGAACTGAAATGGATCTAAGAAAGAAAAAAAAACTATAAAATACTGACTGCAATACTTACCTCACATCTGGTTGAGCCAAACTTCATTAATAAACAAAAGCACAAACTGAACATTAGCAAAGGGACTGAAACCAGTCAACCACATTTGGATCTCTTGCTTAATTTACACTTTATAGAAAGTAGTTATGCTAGTGGTAAAAATGGACTATCAATTTTCAGCTTCTGTCATCTGATTTTAATACCTGGACACTTTCATGGACTAAAATCATTTTTAGAAAGGAAGAATCATCTTAAGATGGCCATGGTGGTCACCTGACCAGGCTGAACACAGAAAACCATCAATAAACATGACCCAGTCTGAACTGAAATTAATGTATCATTGAAACCAATAATTCAGATCTGTATCGCCTGTTTGATGTAGGCTCTTCTGGAAGTTTCATATATTGGGATAAAAGATTCTGAACAATTAAATTGCATTTTTAAAAAGTGTAACATAGCTGCATGCCAAAAAGAATTATAAATCTTTGATATGGCCAACCTAGGAGATTAAGAGAAGCTAATTTGCCCCTCCTCAGCGGGTCACAAAGTTTGTAAGTTGAAGATAAAATGCATCACCTACAATTATCCAGTTTGTGGGCAATAAACCCAGGCATGAGAATACACACATGTGCGGTATTTCAAGCAACTGCTTTAGCAAAGCTTAGGTGACATGGATTTGCAACTGGAACTCTCAACCTCTTGAAGGACAAAGCAGCTGATAATATTGCAAACTACAGAGAATCAGCTGATCAGTAAGAACTCTGCAATTATCTTCAATTTCATATATGATATTGATCCAGGACCATTGATCCATTGATTCCTAAACAACCATGTTCTCAGGTTAAAATATAATGGCTAAACAACACCCTCAAGACTTTTAACTACATATTCTTTTGTCGTCTTTTTGGTACTGGACATTATCCTCTTTTAAGCATTGTACCAACTGTTGTGTGTGCTTGATGTTCCATTTTTATCACTTTTCTCAGGATTACACAGGAGTAAAATTGCTCCTCTTTTCACTCAAGAAAACCTTGTAATTGGGTCCTTAATTGTTTCTGGTGAACGGGTAAACTTAATTTAACTGGAGTCAGGTATCGTTACACGCCAAATATAATTTTTTTTTATTCATTCATGGGAGGTGAACTTTGCTGGCTGGGCCAGCATTTATTGCATGTCCCAAGTTTCCCTTGAGAAAGTGGTGATGAGCTGCCTTCTTGAACCACTATTTATTTGAGTCCCCTTCCCCTCCCTCATTTCTGAAGAAGGGTCCAGACCCAAAATGACAGCTTTTCTGCTCCTCTGATGCTGCCTGGCCTGCTGTGTTCATTCAGCTCCACACCTTGTTATCTCAGACTCCAGCATCGGCAGTTCCTACTATCTTCTTGAACTGCTGTAGTGTTTCCTTCTTATATGGCTTAACCCACAATGCCATTCGAGAGGGAATTCTAGGATTTTGATCCAGCAACAGTGAAGGAACAGTGATATAGTCAGGATGGTGAGTGGCTTGGAAGGGAACTTGCAGGTGGCGGTGTTCCCATCTATTGGCTTCCCTTGTCCTTCTAGATGGAAGTGGTTGTGGGTTTGGAAGTTGCTGTCTAAGGATCTTTGATGAATTTCTGCAGCGCATCTTGTAGCTAGTCCACACTATTGCAACTTAGTGTCAATGGTGGAAGGAGTGGATATTTGTGGATGTGGTGCCAATGAAGTGGGTTGCTTTCACATGGATGGTGTCAAACTTCTTGAGTGTTGTTGAAGCTGCACCCATTCAAGCAAGTAGGGAGTATTCCATCACACTCCTAGACTTGTACCTGATATGAAGTCGGGAGATGAGTTGCAGCATTCCTAACCTCTGACCTACTGTTGTAACATTGTGTTTATGTAGCAGGTCCAGTTGAATTTCTTGTCAATTGTAACCCCAAAGATATTAATAGTGGGGGATTCAGTGATGGTAATACCAAAGAATGCCAAGGGGTGGTGATTAGAATGTCTCTTATCGGTGATGGTCATAGCCTGGCATTTGTGAGGTTTTGAATGTTAATTGCCACTAGTCAGGCCAAGCTTGGATATTGTCCAGATCTTGCAGTATTTTGAACATGGACTGCTTTAGTATCTGAGGAGTCGTGAATGTTGCTGAACATTGTACGATCATCGGCGAACATCCCTCACTTCTGACTGTACAATGAAGGGTAGGTCATTGATGAAGCAACTGAAGATAGTTGAACTAAGGACACCTTTTACATCAATGTGGCTGAAAATAATGATGATAGAGACTCCAATTTTCTTTTCAGCATGTGGCTGACCAAACATCTCTCCCATACTTAGCACCTGCCATTGACAGATGGTGGAAGGAATTGTGGATTGATACTTTTCTTGTTTGGCTGCATTATGAAAGCATCTTACTTAGTTATCAAATCTTGGGTGGGATTCAAAGCTGGAGCTTCTGCCACAGAGGCAATAATGCTATCCACTGAGCCTGCAATGGATCAAATAGCATGCTCCTGCGCTGCATACATAAAGTCTTACAGCGTTGGAGGCCATCATCCTGTTGTGTCTGTGCCAGCTATACGATTTCACTGCATAAGTATACTAACAGACTGTAACAGCTTGGGTAAGTAGGCCAGCCATCAGTTTGTAATTGAGGACTGTAGCAGACATAATCTGATGGTTAATCTCAGGCATCCTTGTGACGGTAGATAAAGCAAACAAAAATAGAAACAGAACTCAGGAAGAGTCACTGGACCCGAACCATTAAGTCTAATTTCTCTCCACAGATACTGCCAGACTTGCTGAGCTTTTTCAGCAATTTCTAATTTTGTTTCTCATTTCCAGCATTCACAGTTCTTTGGTTTTTATTTAGATAATGTAAAATCTATCTCACAGACAAATTGAGGCTTGTTGCTGTATTCTTTGTATAAATTTTAACTGTTCAGAGAAAAGGCAAGTATTCCTGCCAAGCATAAGGAATTCATTTTCATTTGCAAGTACTGGGCAAGACTAAAGATTTGAGTCTATAAAGATATCCTTTATCAGGTATGTGGGTATTGTTTTTATGCGATGGAACAAACAAAATAAATTCAAAACATCTATGTCAAATCATACAATACCCAACATTCTATACGACAATGCATTGAACTTTGCCACGATAGTCCATTAAACTTGGCAGCACTGAGCATTATCTACCACCTGATCCAACCCATCATCTGCCTTTACTAATTGTCTTTCAAGGAAACTGAAAAGCACTGGCCCAGCCACTTTGATGACAGCAATAATTTATCAAGAACAGTCAAAACCTGTGACATTCACTTAAATTGTAAATGCATTTGAGAAAAAGTTGAAAAGGTCAGTGGGAAAATAAATGAATTTAAAACAGAAATTGCTAGAAAAACTCAAATGGTCCAAGTAGCATTGCTAGAGACACAAACAACATTAAAGTTTCAGCCTGGTGATCTGTCAGTCCAAAGATGTGCAGGTTAGGTGGGTTATAGGGGGATAGGTTTCGGTTGTTGCTTTGAGGGTCGTTGTGGACTTGTTGGGCCGAAGGGCCTGTTTCCACACTGTAGGGATTCTATGATCTATGATCTATGAACAGATTTTAAACCAGCAGGGATAAACAAGCAAGGAGGACAGAGCAAAAGGAAGGTCTGTGATATGGTGGAAGGCAGCAGAGGTTAAACAACAAAAGAGATGATTCTGAAAGGTAAATGAAGAGTGAGTGATAGAACCACCACCTCAGTCAGAACTGATCTGTACTTGGACTGATCCCAGCTGATGGTTACGCTGGGCAAGTCAGATCGTAGAGTGAAATTAGGTTTGAGGGATTGTAAGTTTAAATTTTTACAGTTGATTACTGTGGTGGTTAGTCAAAACATATTCACATAGGCCATGTAGGAATTTAACAAAAGATTATTTAACAAAAAACGCAAGCTCATTACACAAAAGATATTAAACAAGTGAGTTTTTTTTAAATTATACGACAGTTTAGAAAGATCTTCACAGAAGCTTTATTTTTCTGTTTCAACCTGTTTTTGAGACCAGAATAAGTTCAGCCATGATCTTAGCAAGCATGAAGGCTGAATTGCTTACTCCCGCTCCTAATTCCCATGTTCCCAAACTGTTTCCCAGCAATATCAATAACAGGTACTACAACTCCAGAGAAATACCACTTATTAAAACCCTTTAATTTCTTATTTCTGTCACTGTTCAGTTGTCCTTCTTGCACTGCTGGCCTAATCCTTGTTTCAGTTCATACAATTTAAACTTCTACAAACTCCCACAGCTTGGCGACCTCACAGACTCAAAGACTTTTGTGAGGATGATTGTTCTCGTAGATTGACAACTGGATTCTCCTGTAAGCTGATAACTTCTCTTCTGAAATGAACTCCTGATTCTGAGTGTAAGACAAAACAGAAACAAAGAGCCTATTTACTCTTTTGGTCATTAATTCAGCTGAGAAACTTTGCATCAATTAACATCACAGGTATCCTTTGTGATACTTGACTAAACATGTTTTCTTGGAAATTATGTATTTAGGCCATTGCTCCAAATAAATAAACATCTTAAAAATAATATCTTCATAGAACAAAAAATCATAAGCCACCTCCCTTTAACAAGTTAAATTTCCAAAAAAATAACAAAATACACATTTATAACTGACTTCACGCATCAAAAACAGCTGCACACACCAACCTGAACTGGACCAAGTGGTTGCACAAAGGTGAGCTTGGTGTTGGAGTACTCCTCACAAGGAAGACTGTTATAGGCACAGATCAACACAAATATTTCTAAATCCTCCCTGCTTTAAGACTCAAATTAAAGCAGCAGGCGCCATTCACTCGTATGGTTCTTGTAACCCTGATCTCCCGGGATGTTTTAATTCCTGTCATTTCAAATACTTGTCTTATTTCATTTTAAAGAACATTCTAGACTCCTACAATTGTCACTTTTTCACCAGTGGAGACACTGTGCCATTGTTAACCTGCAGTAAATTCCCCATATTTCACATCTCTTTGCTGGTCACTCATGCAGCCTCACTTACCATGTTGCTGTTGTTCTGTTGAAGTTACTTATGTCTAAGTCCACCCCATTTACCAGTATCTCTCTCATTCTTCCAAGCTTTGTACACTCCTCTCTCCCTTGTTGCCATTCCCTTGTGTTCCTCACTACCCACTGCCCACCCTCCAAAGTATTAATCCCCACAACACCGTCCCTCTTTCCGTCCCCAATCTGAAACCATTTCCATTTCAGTAAGTGACAGATCGCTATTCATTCATTTCACCATCCTTGCTCCCAAACCAATGCCTGAATAAATAGTGTAAATTATTAGTCAGCTACTCATTTCATTTTCAATGTTTCTGTTGCACAGTTAGTTTTTCATTATTGATGGATGCATGAAAATCCCCAAAAACACAAGAAAAGGTATTAATGGACCTTGGTGATAAGCTCTACCGACAATTTAAAGTCAAATTGATCAGCAACTTCACACCTTAATGCAACCCATTTCTGTAATGCTGAACTTTGTGATTTCAATTAGTTAGTGAAACTGGATATTAAGAATTCATTGTGATGGCCATTGTTGAATGGCATTGTTACTAAGAACATTAACCACAGACATGAAGCAAAATATTTACATTCCAGCCATTTCTCAGAGTACCCACGTGGATTTTCTGATTGTTAGTATGATTAAAGGTTTCTAGTTTAATATGTAACATTGAATTTAACTCTGGAGTTTTTTTAAAATATTAATCACATCCTTCTAATAGGAATTTTAATCCGCCCTAATGCACTATTCACAGAAACTAGTAGGGAGGTCATGTTGCAGCTGTACAGGACGTTGGTTAGGACACTTTTGGAATACTGCATGCAATTCTGGTCTCCCTGCTAGAGAAAGATATTGCGAAACTTGAAAGGGTTCAGGAAAGATTTACGAGGATGTTTCCAGGGTGGGAGTGTTTGAGCTACAGGGAAGAGGCTGAATAGCCTGGGGCTATTTTCCCTGGAGCACCAGAAGCTGAGCAGTGACCTTATAGAGGTTCATAGAATCACGAGGGACATTGATAGGATGAATAGCCAAGGTCTTTTCTCTGGGGTGGGCGCAGTCCAAAACTAGAAGGCATAGGTTTAAAGTAAGAGGGGAAATATTTAAAAGGGACTGAAGGAGCAACTTTTTCATGCAGAGGGTGGTGCGTGTTGGAATGAGCCGCCAGCGGAAGTAGTGGAGGCCGGTACAATTATAACATTTCAAAGGCATCTGCATGGGTATATGAATAAGAAGGGTTTAGAAGGATATGGGCCAAATGCTGGCAAATGGGACTAGATTAATTTAGGATATCTGGTCAGCATGGACGAGTTGGACTGAAGGGTCTGATTGCATGATGTACAGCTCGAGGACTCTAATCCTGGTTTATTAATAATATCTAGAAATGACTTGATGCAGAGTGCATCCCATCTATTCTGTACTCTATACATGCAAAACTATAAGCATCACTACAATACTGTATTATGACACAATAGGTATAACCAATTCGACTATTAAAGCAGATGTAACTAAAAACAATTTAATAATTCAGCATTTGGCTTGAAGGACTATACTGTGTCATTTTCAGTTGCAGATGTTATGTGCTGATTTTACTTTGAGAATATAAGGCTTAAAACTTCTTTGCTCCAGCTGTAACTTATAATTCCACAGAGCTGAATCTACTTGCACAGCAAACATGCTGACTTTAAGGCAAGGGTTACGCCTCTACTAATTCTTCCAATTAACCCTCATATAAAGTGTGTCAAATTTCTGTTTTTTTTTAGCCATCACACCTCATTTTTAAGGGTGTGTTTCCAAGTTAAATATACTTAGCAGTACTTATTCAAACATGCAAATATTCACAAGGGACTGGATATTTTATTTTAGAAAGAATCAATGATCTACAAGAAATATTTCTTGGTCTTTTTTGCTCTTGCACATACATATTACATTTATCATTTAAAAACTTTTAAGAAGAAAATTCAAAATTTCTGACAAAGGTTCCTTAATCTTACAGTAAGATACCAATTTTAACTCCAGCCAGTTTTTGTCATGCACATTTAAAACTCAAGAGTGCTATCTTAAAATGCACTTACGGCAGTCAGAAACAGGCTTGGTTAATATTTTAACTTCCTGGACTCAAGGGAATCATATGGGCTGGATTTCACCAATCCAATAGCAAACGCACACGTGTAGCCTATAGTAGATAGTGACCCAAAAGCCTATTTATAGAGTGGGAAAGCAAACTTAAAGCAAGGCTGCAAAAGCTTGAGTAAGGCTTTGTTAACTAAGTGACGTACTACATAACTGTGGTAGACGTCAAGAAAAGCAAGCACCTGTGTTTTTTTTTAAAAAAGAGTTTGCAGGTAAGTGCCACTTCAGATTGAGTTTGAGTCATCTTGCTTAGTTTTGTAAAGCCAATGCCATTATGTTTTACACAGTTGGAAAAGTGGGCAGCCTACACATTTAAAATGGTACAGTGATACAAATTATTTTAGCAGAAATGTCTGTGACTGCCTGTTTCTGGCAGAATCAGGCTGACTCTCAACAATTGTCACAATTACATCTACAAATTGGAAATTTAAACATCAGTGTGTTCAAGATCCAGATGACTCCCTGCAGGAAAAGAGTTTTCTCATGTCACTGTTGTTTCTTTCGTCATTCACCACTCAGTCCTTGGTTCTTCACCCTCCTGTCAATGAGGAGAGTTTCTCCCATTTACTTTGCTCATACCCCTTATGATTTTGAACACTTCTATTCAATCTACTTTAAACTTGCTCTTTCATAAGGACAACAGACCTAGCTTCTCCAATTCATCTGACTTAAGTAACAGAACTGCCTTACCCAAAGAACCATTCTCATAATCCTTTTTTCAGTCCTTTAAACTTCCACAACCTTTCTAAGGTGCCTAGAATTGGGTACAATACTTCAGTTGATGCTGAATCAGTGTATTGTGAAGAAGGTTAATTATAATTTCCTTGGTCTTCAGTAATCTATACCTCTAGCTATAAAGCTTAAAATACCAAATGCCTTTTTGGCTGGTTTTTCAATCTGTTCTGTCACCTTCAATGATTTATGTGCATAACCTCCCCCACTCTCTCTGTTCCTACATCCCATCAGAATTGAAGTTTACACTACCAAACACACGTCTGTATTAAATTTTATCTGTCATCTGAACTCGAACTCCAATTCCAACACCCTATATCCTCCTGAAATCTATCACCATTTTCCTCTTTGTTCTGTAAAACTTGTAATTTAGCCCATCACAGCCAAGTCTAGGTCATTAATATAATTGAAAGAAAACAGCAGTCCTTATACGGATTCCTGAAGCGCCTTACCGGATACATTCCTCCAATCCAAGAACAACTATTGTTTCCTTTCACCCAACGAGCTTCAGATCTAGGCTGTCAGTATCCCTTTAAGGCTTGTGGAATAAACTTTGCTGGCAGTTAGGCTGCGGTTTGAAAGTTTGTGTATAGCACTGCATTGTTCTTATCAACTCTGTTCTTTATCGCAATAAAAATAAAACTTAGTCAAGTTAAACAGGATTTTCTGTTGACAAGTCCATGCTGGCTTTCCCTAATTAATGCAAAATTTGTCAAGATTATCACTTCCAAAAGCATTTCCCCCCAGAGGTTAAACTGACTGCTCTGCATTTGCTCATTTTACCTGTACACCTTTGTTGAGCAAGTGTGTACCATTTATAATTCTCTGAACTGAACAGGTATAGACATTTAGGTGCAGGGCTGGATGAACACAGCAGGCCAAGCAGCATCATAGGAGCAGAGAGGCTGACGTTTCGGGCCTAGACCCTTCATCAGAAAAGGGGGAGGGGAAGGGGGTTTTGAAATAAATAGGGAGAGAGTGGGAGGCGGATAGAAGAGGGATAGAGGAGAGGATAGGTGGAGAGGAAACAAACAGGTCGAAGAGGCGGGGATGGGGCCAGGAAAGGTGAGTGTAGGTAGGGAGTTAGGAAGGGGATAGGTCAGTCCAGGGAGGACGGACAGGTCAAGGGGGCGGGATGAGGTTGGTCGGTAGGAGATGGAGGTGCGGCTTGAGGTGGGAGGAGGGGATAGGTGGGAGGAAGAACAGGTTAGGGAGGCAGGGACGAGCTGGACTGGTTTTGGGATGCGGTGGGGGGAGGGGAGATTTTGAAACTTGTGAAATCCACATTGATACCATTGGGCTGCAGGGTTCCCAAGCGGAATATGAGTTGCTGTTCCTGCAACCTTCGGGTGGCATCGTTGTGGCACTGCAGGAGGCCCAGGATGGACATGTCGTCTGAGGAATGGGAGGGGGAGTTGAAATGGTTCGCGACTGGGAGGTGCAGTTGTTTGTTGCGAACCGAGCGTAAGTGTTCTGCAAAGCGGTCCCCGAGTCTCCGCTTGGTTTCCCCGATGTAGAGGAAGCCACACCGGGTACAGCGGATGCAGTATACCACATTGGCAGATGTGCAGGTGAACATCTGCTTGATGTGGAAAGTCTTCTTGGGGCCTGGGATGGGGGTGAGGGAGGAGGTATGGGGGCAGGTGTAGCACTTCCTGCGGTTGCAGGGAAAAGTAAACATTTATTGCCTATGCTTCCACAATATCCTCCCTTACTGCCATTCATACCCTTGGATACATTCTAGCCAGCAGTCGCCATGGTGCTGCATTGAGGTGGCAGTAGACTCTCCGGAATAACAAAACTTAATCTTTTTACTAAAACAACAATTACATGCAGTCACGCAGATTTTCAACCATGCTAGTCTGAACCAATAGCTTTATTCATTTTGTGAAGGCCTATAGAAAACTATTTAACATCTACTGGACACTAGCACTATGCAAAAGCATGAACTGGAAAATGCACAGATTCAGAAAGGGAATTAACTAACTTCCCCAGAAGTACAGTACTTTCAAAACCAGCAATCTTCTGGTTACTTTATCTAACATGGATTGATAGTAGATAAAAGTGTTTTTTTTGGGATATGCTCGACTGGGTGAGAGGGTAACACAATCAAGTCCAATCCAAGCTGTGCAGGTGCAGGGGTTAGCGAATGGCAGTGAGAGCCCTCTTGTCATGCAGCAGGAATGTCCCTACCCCAGGAGACCCAGGTTCAAATCCCACCTGCTCCAGTGGCGTACAATAACATCCCTGAACAGGTTGATTAGAAAAATAGGTTAAAAAAAAACAATTGAATGGCAGTCTGAAATAGGTTCAGTTAACTGAAAACAAATCTGGATGCTCCAGTCTGTTTAGGATTAGTGTTACATTGTACAGAATCATTACGTTCAAAAAGGTAGCATTTGTGGCATCCTGCTAGATAGCTACACCCACCATGAAGTTGAGCGGCAAAAAAAGCTGACCACAACAAAAGTTCAACTTCAATATCCCAATTTTATATCAAAGGTTACATAAACTAACAGTGTATTTGTAGTGGTTTATTTATGTCCAGAATTCTATATGGTAACACAACTTTGCGTTAAAATTCAAATTATCACTCAATTAAACAGTACAAAATTCAAATATGTGCAAAAGAGTTACTGTGTAAAAAAACAAATTCATGATACAAGGAAATAAAACAGCAGTTTGATGGAGTCTCATTTTGTCAAATTCTCCACTTATTATTGTAGTGATATTTTGCAATGATGAATTAGAGCTCAACACAATTTCTGGAGTTCACTAGTTTAACTTTCTAACATGATTGATGTTGCCAGTATTTCAAAAAAATGCACACATTTCCAACAAAATAAATATTTGAAACCATAAGTTACAAACTATGTATATAGTAGTTTTACACATCAAGTATTAGCTGCAGATACAAATTTGCTTTCTTTAGTTTAAGCAGTTATAAACCAACATGTAAACACCATGATAAATAGTACATTAAATAGTGGTTTAAAATTGCCACGCTCTCCACAGTGGGTTTCCTGGTTCGTTCACCTTCAATTCAACTCCACATCTTCCTTTGGAGGTGGTTCAAGGTATATAGGGGTAATGGAAACTGATTTCTTTGACCTATCAAAAAGCAAACAGAAAAACAATCAATATTGTCCTTTGATTTACAACAGAACACTTGCTAATTATGTTGTTCAGTTTTATTCTGCTAAAAGCTTGAACCCTATCATATTAAAGGACAAATTAATGTGCCTCCTCCCACTACATCTACCGTTCCCGAATAATTAAATGCAAAATTGTTACATTTAGTTCTTGAAGGATGCTGACTAATCAATTTATTTGTTACGAAGCTGTGTAGGGTACTCGTGAATTGGAAGGCAGGAAGCTAGAATTTGTTTGTAAAAATGATAGGGGAGAAAGAGTGCATGGCTCCTTTAAGAGGTAAAGTGCTTTTCCAAGCTTAGAGATTTATACAGGGAAAAAACGTCTGTTTGAACTGAAGATGTATAGCCAGTTCTGAAACTGAAACTGAAACATGTATCAATTGGTTGTGTGATTGGAAACCTTAGGCTTGTTTTGATGTTTTGGCAACTAGCTGGAATCGGCCAATTAATATAAACCAAGCACTTAGCAACTGAAAGCCAATTGTACTTAAATCTGATGGTTTTGGCAACCTCAAACCAATGATATTGTTAGAAAATTGATATGTCATCCAAGGTATATAAGGAGAGGGTTTTTGAAAATTGGTGTGAAAGCAAACCACCATCTGAGAAATAAGCATCCAGCTCTCACAAGAAATCATTAAGCTCTCTAAGAAAACACCATCTATTCATAAGAGGTACCATGGTACTTCTAGCTAAGAGTCCTCACAAAAAACTTCACAGAGAAAACATGCCAGCTAGATCAGCGGAAGAAAAGCATTTATGACTTGAGAACTGCAGAAGAAAGACACGTAGACTTTGAGAGACTAAGTTTTAATTTATTTTCTTATTACTTGGGTTTATAAGTGGGAATTGTGTTTATTGGAACAGCTCAGTTAGGGAACATTTAGTAGTTAAGGGGGAAGTGTTCAGTTTGTTAGTAATTCTGTTAATTTGTTCACTGTTAGGGTTAAATAAATAAATAGTTACTTGCTACAAAGTGAATATCAAGGATTTTCTTTCATTTAATCACTCTTAATAGATTAAGAAGGCGAGGTGAGCTTCTCTGGGTGTTTCCGGTTTAATTACTAAAAGCGGGCCTCTACTGCCACTGTAACAGATTGGGGCTTGTATTTCGATTTTAATTATCAGAAGCGTTCGACCTCCCCACTGTGTAACAAAAGAATATTCCACTAGATCAACAATGTGCTAAACAAACAAAATACCAAAGAATGAACTGAAAAAAGTATTCTCTTCATCATGAGTAACTGATTAATGGGTAAAGAATACTTACGAATAAGGAGAGAAAGGTGTCCCCACAACAAGCAAGTGGTTCTTCTTTCTGAATAGCCGCCACATGCCTTTGTGATTACCTCGGACATCTAGATCCCAAATGTGCAGGCACTTGAAAATATAATGAGTTTTTTAAAAAAATTAAATAAAAAGGGCCTTAAGATTCATACTAACAAAACATGAAATATATATTTAATCTCACAGCTGATGTCTATTTTGATGTAAAATAATTATTTTCAGTTTTTCTCATACCCTATTCTCTGCAAGTAAGAAAACATTTAAGCTGTTGCACAGCAACTGTCACAGCCTCAGCCTTACATGACTTACTAAGAGTCAAAATGGAAACAATTTGTCATTTCTACTTTTTTAAAATCAGGCTTCCATGTGTGACCACATCTACTGCATTGCCCTTAATAACCTTATTTATAATTCAAATCAAGTTTGTCAGACATGATAACACCTTGTGGAGCTCGAGGAACACAGCAGGCCAGGCAGCATGAGAGGAAATTTTTGAAGAAGGGTCCCAACCCAAAACTTTCCTGCTCCTCTGATGCTGCCTGGCCTGCTGTGTGTCTCCAGCTCTACACTATTATCTTGGAGACCAGCATCGGCAGTTCTTACTATCTCTTGTCAGACATGATCCTCCCTTATGAAATCCATGTTGACTTTCTCGGATTGATTTTCTAAGTGAAGATTTATACTGTGCCTCAGAATTGATTCCAATAATTTGCAGGCAACAAAAATCAAGTTAAGGGCTTCTTACTTTGATTATACCACCTTCTCTTTATTAAAAAAAAAACACTGGCTTAACATTTGTACTCCTCAAATCTAGGTGTGGCATGTACATAAATCTTCAAAAGTGGCAACTCAAGATGAGAAACCATAAGAAATCCTGCATTGCATTATTTATTAAATAGAGCACTAAAGCAAGGAAATTCACTAAAGCTTTATTAAGAGAATGGTTAGACCTCAGCTAGAGTACTGTGTTTAATTCTGAGCACCATGAAGAAGGATATCAAAGCCTTATACAGGGTCCAGAAGAGATTTACTAGTATGGTAACAAAGACAAGGGATTTCAGTAATGCTGAGAACTGGAAAAACTGGGGTTGTCATTCCCAGAAAAAAAAAGTTAAGGTGATTTGATAGAAGTGTTCAATATCACAAATAAAGGAGAAACTAGAGGACAGAAATTTAATAATCAATAACAAGTACAATAGTGAAGTACCTGAAAGCATGATGAAAGCCAACTTAACAGTAATTTACAAGAGTGATCTAATAAATCCCTGGAAGGGAAACTACACAGCCGCAGGGAGGAGCAGAGAAGAGAGGCAAATTGGGTTGCTCTCTCAAAAAGTTAGCAGAAATATAATGAGAGATAGTAGGAACTGCAGATGCTGGAGAATCCGAGACAACAAGGTGCAGGGCTGGATGAACACAGCAGGCCAAGCAGCATCATAGGAGCAGAAAGGCTGACGTTTTGGGCCTAGACCCTTCATGAA